TAGCTTGTGAGACCTTTCCTGGATTACTGTTGTTTTGATCTCCAGGTCTCCACGACCTGGGACAGAAGGCTCTGGAATCCTTACAGTCAACCAGTTCCAGTGCCATGTCCTCACCTAGCAACGACAATTCTTTAGGCAGGGACTGAGGTTGCTGCTGTCCCTCTGTTGTTGCCTACTCCTGGATGTCAGCATCCAGCACTGAAGTGGGTGCGTTTGTAAATTTTATGTTTTTCACTGAGATCATCATACTACATGTGCCTTCTGAGCGAAGTTTATTTCAAAAACAAAGTTTTTTCCAAAGTTTATGAATGTCTGAAAATACAGAGGGAGCATTGGCTTATGATTAGAGGAGTGAAGCTGGAGTCAGGATTACTGGAATCTACTCTTGGTTCTGCCACTGATTCAGTGTGACTATGTGCCTCAGTTTCCAAGTCTGCCTATGGTAACAGTAATACTTATCTCATTCAAATGCATACAACAGGGGTATGGGTACTAGTCTCAGAACCCGCCATCCCTGGCTTTTCTGGGTTGGGCAACCAGCACAAACTCTCCTTAAAGTATGCATTTGCTTCTTCAGGTGATTGTCTGAAGATGGTCTGGTTCAGGAATAATTTGCATGCTACCCCTTAAACTTTACATTATCCTCACCTTCATACCTTCAAACACCTGCGGGTCTCATACTAATCTGCCAACTCAGCAACCTGTCAGAGTGTTTTATGTTTTCTAACTGCTAGTCAAATTCTTATGAGAAACCCTCAAATTGTTCAAGGTGAAAGAGGTCTCACTTATTCTTCTATCTACTTGTCAAAGTTGTTTGCTATTGATACAGGTATATTTGTATAACCTTCAACAGCCCCATTTTTACGCTGAGGGACGTGCTTGAGCCATGCTATCATATTCATCTTGAATCTTATCAAGACAGCTTTCTCTTTAGCATACATACTATACAATCCCTTCTGTTCTTTACAAGGGAATTAACATACTGGATCAGACTAGTAGTACATCTAATCAAATACCTTTTCCTGATGTTGACCATTAACAAATGCTTCAGAAAAGAGTACAAAGAAATCCCATAATGGACAATTCTGGAAAAAACTAACCCATAGGAGAAACTTCTTCCCAATCCATCATTTAGTGGCTCGTTTATACCTGATGCATGAGTGTTCATATTCCTTCAATTTTAGTTCAATCTAATGTAGGTATATTTTTAATGTGAATGTGGATTTTCTAGTATGAGCATTAGTTACAATAGTGACGAGAGATGAAGTACACACTTCTTTTTAACATGTACCGCTCACACATTTTCCTCAAAGGCACAAAAATGGATGCCTCCTTCTGAGAGTAGTTAGGGAATCTTCATATCCGGCTGAAACTGTGGGTATTTCCCTCATTTGTTTCCCCGCTACTATTGTGAATTCTACACTTAATTCCATCACTTCTTTCTCACTCCAACTGAAACTACATCTACGTCCCCATCCCATCTCTTGCCCTGAACTACAATGCTTCTAATAGCGCTGTTTTATTTGTAACTTCTCCAGTTCTCTTTGTTATGCTATATTATCCTTTCAGCAACAACGCTTTCTGTGTTATCAGCTCACCATGAATACTTCTCAGTCTTCTGGACTCAAAATCTGCCATCTGATTCAGACTCAGCTTGTCTTAATGCCTTGATTACAGGGTGTTTGTCTGATATGCCTTTATTGATACAGTTCCTAGAGTGGCAAAAGAACTTAGGATATCTTGATTTCTATGCACCAATTCACCCACAACCAGACTTCAAGATAAAGTAATACAGAATTTTCCGAACAACTTAAAATGTCTGTTGCTTAAAGAAGAGACCGCCTTTGAAAGAAGTGGCTCAGAAAACTCTAGTGGAAGTTTAGGAGAATGGAATCATGCCTATTTGGTTCCAACTCTCATTCCCTATCCAATCATCTTCAACAACTTTCTGATATAAGCCCTTTGTTTACTGTAGCTGAAGTTTTTTCACTGGGCATTCAATACCCTTCCCCTCTCCAAGGCCTATGCCAAAAGCCTTAACAACTTCTTGGGTACCAAAATCCCAAACCACTTTCCAAATCCTCTCAGATGCCAAAAGTCTCAAACGCACTCTACCCAACACGCTACACACTCTATCCTCTCACCCCATCCCCTTGTCAACTTCAACAGTGTACTTATGAATTGTCAATCTACCAAATTTTGTGTTGCAGAGTTTTGTATGTTCATACTGCAGGACATTCCGCTATTGTGATTTGTATTTCATTTTCCCCAAGAGAGCTTCTAGAATCTGCATCTACATTTTCTTGGTAACAAACAGCATGTGGCCAGAATAATGTTCCATGGCACTTGCCCACTAAACTTCACAATTCCTGTCACATTTCCTTTAGACATCCCTATGAAATTCCACTCCCTTTTGCTATTAACCCAGACCATTCTCTCCTCTTCTAAGCTTCACAGAACTTGTTCCCTTAGCTGGTCAGAGAACATGCCATCTAGCACTTCATCATAGTCATTGCTCTCTAGAAAAAGCAACCGAGGGTCCTGTGGCACCTTTAAGACTAACAGATGTATTGGAGTATAAGCTTTCGTGGGGGAATACCCACTTCATCAGACACATGTAAGGGAAATTTCCAGAGGCAGGTATAAATATGCAGGCAAGAATCTGAATACCCCTCTGATAATTGCTCTCTAGATACTCTCTTACCACTGTGTCTTCTCAAGTGAAGATCTCAGGGTTTACTACACAGTGGAGTACATCTTACATGTATAATTGTTAATATGTATATCTAGGGGGGCATGTACCATTTTTTGATTTTCATCTAATAATGGGACAATACGATCATTCAGGATTTCCATGTCCACAGTTAGAGCAATGCTCCAGGAACCTACTTCTGCTGAGTGGAAAACCATCTCAAATACAGCTCACTGAAAGTCCAAGCTTCCAGAATGCACATTCTTCCAACTATGATAGAAAAAACTGTTAACACCTGTACTCTTTATATTCCGCTATGGCTCTGTCAATTAAAAAGGAGGATAAAATTTATGAAGGTGGTGTTTAAAATCTGTACAAGATCTACATGCAGTGAAAATGCTACTAAATTGTTTCTCTTCTTCCTTTGTGTTTATACTAAATTGAGCTAAACAGAATCATCTCAGTCAAACTGAATACATGGATCCCGAAGAAGAGCTCTGTGTAGCTCAAAAGCTTGTCTCTTCGCCAACAGAAGCTGGTCCAATAAAAGCTATTTCCTCACCCACCTTGTCTCTACATGGATTCTGTACAGTTATGAGTCATGGATGAACACTTCCTATACTGACTGGCTGATACTGTACAAATAATGAAAAATAACTACACAAGCATTATGCCAATCCATGAACTCTGGCTGGCAGACAGCCTGTTAACCAGAATACATCTTTCTTCTAAATACTATATTTCTACTTGCTCAGAACCAAGTCAATGGAAAGGCAAAGCACACCCATTAACTCTAGATAGATCTGTTTTATTGAAATAACCAGATTTCTAAGGGAGCGAGATGTGACTTTTTGGACTATGTCACCCTGATGTACAATTAAATGATCTTATATTTACATAATATCTTTACTCCTGAAGAAACTATATATTGATATACAGACAATATTCATCAATGAAATGATTAAAGTGGATTAGGGAGCAGACCATACTAGCTGTTCATAACAGTTTAGGGCAAAGTGTGAATACCACATATTTATGAAACTACAGGGGGAAATCTAGGGACCTAGCCAAACAGGGATTCCAGAGCAAATACCACAACTTTTTGCAAGCAATGCTTTGTATCTTTAACGGTCACAAATGTTTGCAACTGTAAATTTTACATCTCATACAAAAGAATGGCATTGTGAGAAGCACCACACCACACTAGGACACTGTTTCAGTACAACTTAAAAGGAACCTACCACTTAAGGAATCACCAACACTTCTTGTCAGAGTCTCCCAAGTTTTCCTTTGGGGTTCCTCTGCAAGTACTGACCAGGCTTAAACTTGCTTAACTTGTGAGTTATGACATGTTCACAGGCTAAGGTGCTACAGGGCAGCAGGCAAATCTGTTCCTATCTAGATTTTTACTTTTTTCTAATTGTGTTATAGGCTCTGCTGCTAGCATTTCCTATTAAGATTAGTGGGAAGCGTCGGGCAAAGATCCTGTTTTAAGTTGCTTATAACATGACAAAACTAACGCTCTGGGCTGAAATTTTCCATGCCAGGGGTCAGCTGTAGGCCAATCTTTTTTGGAAAATTTCAGCAAAAATTGTTCAACCATTTTCAAGAATGAGGCTAGGGAAAAATAGGTTTTGCTCATGTTAAAAAATTGAGATTATTTTCCTTGAAATGCCTTAAGACCCCCATGCTCTGAAGTATTTTTGCTGTCACCATGAAAATCCACCTAAATCTCACTAAGTTACAAGCCACTGAAAAACTGCAGTTTGCACATGCTCAGAACAGACTTTGATTTTAGCAGCTAAAATCTGTGAAGACTGAATTCTCTCTGAGCACACTAGAGCCCCTCACAGCTCGAAGTGCTGACTAAACTGCCAGTGCACCAGCCCTACAGGCTGAATGACCATGCTCCATCACTTATCAGCTCCTACCTATGGCCAGACTGTGCAACTGACATCCCCACAAGAGTGGCTGAGCATGCTCCAGTGCAGGGCTAATTGGAGGTGGGGGACAGAAGCACTTCCCCTGTAATTGCTGCTCCCAGCTGCTCTGGGCTGGGCCAGGCAGAGTGAACAGACTGGGATAAGGAGCCAAGGATGAGGTAAGAGGGGAGAGAGATTGGATGAGGCGCCTGGAAGCCAGTGGAGGGGAGAGGAGAGAGATCACATTAGGAACTAGAACCTTAATTCTAACTTTCAAGTGATTTACTTTGCAATCTTAATAATGTTCTTTTAACCTAGTTTTTGTGTGCAATATATCTATGTTCAAGGAACGAGGTGGCGACCCAAGAGTAACTTGAATTCCATACCTTGATTATTTCCACCAACTGATCCACACCACTGTCGCCTGGAAAGATTGGTTGTCCAAGTAACAGTTCAGCCAATACACAGCCTGCTGACCACACATCTGAAGAGAAAAGGGGGAAAAGTGTTTCAGTTAAAGATGTTATATATATCATTATATATCATATCAAATTTAACCATTTAATACATTACTCTGTGTTTGGTTCTGTACAAGATACAATTAATCAAGAGCACTCAGCCTTTATAACTAAAAGACAAACAATGAAGACATGGAGACCCTCTGGTAGAATCAGAGAGATGAGATGTACCAAAAAAGTCCAATCAGTACATATTAACACAGACACACACACAGACAGAATACATACATATACATATTCCTGATCCCTTTGGGTGTATCAACTGAAGGATTAGTGATTACTCATATCCTGTTTATACATATATATCACTATATATCACATCAAATTTAACCCATTTAATACATTACTCTGTGTTTGGTTCTGTACAAGATACAATTAATCAAGAGCACTCAGCCTTTATAACTAAAAGACAAACAATGAAGACATGGAGAACCTCTAGTAGAATCAAGAGATATAAGATGTTTAAAAATGAAGTCCATCAATCAGTACATATTAACACTCACCCACCCACCCACACAGACAGGATATATTAACTGAAAGATTAGTGATTACTCATATCCTATTAGTGATTACTCATATCAGATCTTTAGTCATGTTATACATACCGAGTGTGTAAAGACATTTTCTACCAAAGGACAGGTGATGCTTTTTGTTGTTTTTTTAATCTAGGAGCACAGACTCACTGTTGTGTCATTTTATATATATAATTTACATATACGAAAAGATGAATCAGAGCTGCAAATAGTGCTAGCATTAAATCAAAGAGAATTGTGCAAGGACAGCAGACTCGGACTGAATTGGCACAAAATTTAAGCTCCAAATTTCACCCACTTTGAAATGGTTATATTGGAATTATAAAATTTATGAGAACTTTCAAACTTCAGATAATGTTTGTAAATTTCTCTGAAGAATTCTGTTGGGGAATCTAAATTCTAAAAATCCCCTCTTAAAATATCCACGTTTCCCTCTAAAGTATTTAATGTAATCATAACTGTTAGACAGCAAGACAATATGCTTTCTGCTTGTGTCCCTTCTAGAGCTGGAATTCACTATTCAAACCCAGTTTCCAAAACTGTATTGACATTGAAGCTCTTGCACAAAGAAGAACATATACAAAAAGCCACAGCAATTTTAAGTTCAAGTAGAAAAACAGTAGGGAAATTAATGGAAAAAACTGAGGAAGAGAACATACTCAAGAAAAGATCTATAAGGGAAGAAATTTGATTTTAAGCTTCTAAGACAGTATATATAATGGAGATTAAACACAAAGTGTAAAGCTTAAAAATATATTTGGCATCCCAATATCTTATACTGCTTTTTATTCCACAAGTAATATCTTCAAAAGTGCTAAGTGACAGGCTCTTTTGTAAATTTTACCCATACTGCATAGGTATGATACACCCATGCCGGAAATGCAGTTTCCTCTGAGGTAGAAGGTGACAGCAGTTTAGAAGCACACAGCAATGTCTCAACAGTCTCAGTCAAAGTGAATAAAAATTTCATATGCAGCATTTGGGGGACATAGGTAGATGTAATGAAGTTATAGATGGAACACAGCCATAACATCAGGATTAACCTCCCAACCTTTGTGAAAAAAATGCCATGTGGGCTTCAATGGCCAATGACAAGTGATCAGGAACATCTTACAGCTCAGCTGAAAGACAGCTGTGCTATATAAATTTACAGTTTCTTCTCTCCTCCTAATCCCATCTCCCAAGCAGTGGGACCAGAAAAAGAGGCACTCAAGGTTTGACCCCTCCCCAATCTACAGAGTGGAGCCCTGCAAACTAGTTAGCTGGACTATGGAACTATCGGGTATGTGGTAGAAGATGGCTTAATGAATTCAACATCAATTGTCAATGACTACTCACCAATTTATCTTCAGTCATATACCACGTGCTGCAACTAGATCTTAGCTACATTCCAGATATACAGAATTATGATAACTTGTAGCAGATGTTTTCCTTAATTTTTATTTACTTACAAATAACCTTAGGGGTGCTGCAGTCAGGATGTGCCCAAGCACTCTTGATTGGAGATTTTTGACAGAATTGTGGGTCTGCACTTGTGTCCTACACACCCTCGTGCTCTGGTACAAGGGTATATAGAGCAGGCTTGCTGCTGTTTGTCCAGGTCCTTCTCAACCACAAAGTCCAGAGAGTAGGACTCTGAAGCTGAAGGGAAGAAGGGCCCAAAGGGGAATGGAGAACCCATAGGAACAAAACATCTAGAAGAACTCCAATTACCGTGCAAGGTAATTACTGTGCAAGGTAACCTCTCCTTCTCCCTACGAGTGCTCCACATCAGAAGATTCACAAGCGGTACCCCAATTATGGAGGAGGGTGCTGAGGAGGTAGATTCAGTATGCACTGTAGAATAGCATCACCAAAGGCCATGTCAACTCTAGAAGCATGGACAATAGTAAAATGCTGGGAAAAATGCCCTTACAAATGTCTGAGATGGATATGTACTTCAATAAGACCACAGAGATACACCAAGCCTTATTGGAATGGGCAATCACCCTTGGTGAAAGAGGCACCTCCAAGGCTTCAAAACAGGTCAAGATGTCACCTATTTCAACAATCTCTGGGTGGATACTGGGTACCCTTTCATTCTTTCTGTGAAGGAAACAGACTGCGAGAAGCCCTGAAGGACTTAGTAATATTGAGGTAAAAGATGAGATTGCTTCTTACACCCTGTGTGTGGAGTTTCTCGAGTAATGGAGCTTGGAGTAAGACACCGTTAGATCAGTGTCCTGATTAATGTGAAATTCTGAACCTTTAGGTAGAAAGCAAGGGCGGGGATGCAATATCACTGTTTTGTGATAGAACACTATGTTTAGTGGATCAGCCATAAGAGCTTCTAGTTCTCCTATCCTTCTGTATGAGGTACAAAGTCTTAAAGGACAAATGAAGATGAGAACAGCTCCCCATAGGTTCAAATAGGACTTTTCTCAGGGCATTTAGAGCTAAGTTAAGGTCCCATGATGGAGTAGGTTCTTTAATAGGAGGTAAAAGGTTAAACAGACCCTTAATGAATCTTGCAATGCTCAGATGAGCAAAGACTAAAACCCCTGAACCGAGGGGTGAAAGGTTGTAATGGAAGCAAAGATGAACCTTGACTGAGCTAAACAATAAACCTGTAGTTTGTAGCAGGTAATTGAGAATGTGTAAGAGGAGAGATTCGAGAGGAGATATAGATTGTTGTGTATGCCAGGCTTACAAACGTTTCCACTTCTGCAGGTAAGTTTTCCTGGTGGCAGGTTTTCTACTCTTGAGCAGTACTGTTTGGGTCTCTGGAGGGCAGTCTTGTTCTACATCAGAAACCCATCTAGGGGCCAGGCCTTGATGTGGAACGATGAGAGGTGGGGGTGGGTCATGGTGCCCAATTCCTGGGTGAGGCAGTCCACTGTCAGAGGAAGGTGAAGAGGTGATTGCAGGGACAGGCAAACTAAAATTGGGAACTCTCTCTGTCTTGGCCACGACGGTGCTATGAAGATGGCTACCAATCTCTCATTTCAAGTATTCAAGACCTTAAGGAGCAACAGCTTTGGGGGACAAGCAAAGAGCAAGACCAAGAACAGAGGCCAAGGGTAAGGAGGGCATCTCCCAACAAGCTGAGACTATGCACTCCCAAGCAGAAGCATCTGCATCGGACAACGTCACAAAAAGATCTACATCCAGGGAACCCCAAATGAGAGAAATAACCTCTGAGGTATTGACACCCATTAGGACAGTTTGTACTTGTTGAGGGACGTAGACAGACCAGAGCCAAGCTGGAATACATCAGGAGTGTAGTCTTGCTAGGGATGTTACACATTTACTGGCTGCCACATGACCCAGGAGTTGGAGAACTCCTTGCTGTGGTTTGTAGCATGGTACTGAGGCTGGACATCATAGCAAACCTATTCGTGGGCAGGTATGGTTTGATTATAATGGAGTCCAAAGTGACTCTGATGAAGTCTATTTGTTGTACAGGTCTAAATATAGACTATTCCAAGTAGAGGTGGAAGCTGGAGAAGTGAAAGAGGGATAGGACCTTGTTGGTTGCTGACGGCACCCTGAGAAAGGAGCAACCCTTGAGAAGTCCGTCATCCAGGCAGGGAAAGACTATTACTCCCATCTAATGAAGATGGGCTGGCGATAGCTGAGAGAACCTTCGTAAAGATCCTTTGCACAGTCAAAAGTCAAAGGACAGGATCCAGTACTAGCAGTGGTCCTTGCCCATGACAAATTGTGGGAAATATTTGTGGAAGAGTGCATAGCTATATGGATGCATGTGTCCCGGAGGTCAAGGAAGACAAACCAATTTCCCAGTTCCAAAGAGGAAATTATCACGGTAAGGTTACATTCTGAACCACTGTGAGAGGACGAAGTCCGGAGGTCCAGATTTGGTCGTCTTTCTCCTCTTTTCTTGGGAACCAGGAAGCACCTAGAGAAGAACCTTTTCTCAAGACTTTCTCAAGGAAGTCCAGTGGAATGGGTTAGATCGCTCCTAAGAATAGGAGAGATTCCACCTCTTGTCTTAAAAGACCCTCGTGAGAAGGATCCCTAGGACAGGGATGGATGGAGCTGAACTGGATGGATTAGCATGCTGAAACCATCTCCAGGATCCACCTGTCCAAGGTGATCAACTCTCAGGCAGACAGGAAATGGGAGAGATGATCCCCATCAGGCTGGTGGCAGGCTTGGTGTAGAGTATGATCCGAGGATTGCTTGTGACCCTTGACCAGTGGATCACAAAAGCTGTTCAGAAGAAGTTGCTGATTCTGATGGCACTAGAGAAGACAGCCCTTTCTTAGAAAAACTAGGTTTCTTTCTGGGTGGTTCAGCTGATCTTGTAGTTTGAAAGTAAACTGGGCAAGACCACTGTCTGTGATATGCTGTATTTTTTTTTTTTTCGGGTCATATGCGTGTAGATGCTGAGGGATTGCAAGGTCTCCCTGGCACTCTATACCATGACCTGA